GAAGTCTTCTCTTTTCAAGGCTGAACAATCCCAGCTCCCGCAACCTGTCCTCTTAGCAGAGGTGCTCCAGCCCCTGGATCATCTTTGTGGCCCTCCTCTGAACACGCTCCAACAAATCTATGTCTCTCTTTTGGTGGGGACACCAGAACTGGATGCAGTATTCGAGGTGGGGTCTCACAAGAGCAGAGTAGAGGGTCACTTCTCTTGACCTGCTGACCACGCTTCTCTTGATACGTCCCAGGATGCGGTTGGCCTTCTGGGCCGCATGAGCGCATTGCCGGCTCATGTTGAGCTTCTCATCTGTAAACACTCCCAAATCCTTCTCTTCAGGGCTACTCTCAACCCACTCTGTGCCCAGTTGGTATTTGTGTCTAGGATTGGCCCGACCCAGGGGAAGGACCTTGCATTTTGACTTGCTGAAGCTCATGCAGTTTGCACTGGCCCATTTCTCAAGCCTATCAAGGTCCCTCTGTATGGCATCTCTTCCCTCAAGGGAGTCCACGGCACCACACAACTTGGTGTCATCGGTGAACTTACTGAGGGTGCACTCAATGCCGTCATCCATGTCGCTGACAAAGATGTTGAACAGCACTGGACCCAGAACAGACCCCTGAGGGACACCGCTTGACACTGGTCTCCATGTAGACATCGCACCATTGTCCACAACTCTTTCGAGTGTGACCATCCAGCCAGTTCTTTATCCACCGAGTGGTCCATCTGTCAAATCCGTGTCTCTCCCTTTTAGAGACAAGGATGTCATGTGGACAGTGTCAAACGCCTTGCACAAGTCCAGGAAAATGACATCCGTTGCTTTACCCGTGTCAGTCAGCGCTGTGGCTTTGTCGTAGAAGGCCACTAAATTAGTCAGGCACGACTTGCCCCTAGTGAAGCCATGTTGACTGTCACCAACCACTTGGTTATTTTTTATGTGCCTTAGTACAGCTACCAGGAGAATCTGTTCTATGATTTTACCTGGCACAGAGGTAAGGCTGACTGGTCTGTAGTTTCCCGGGTTGTCCTTGGTCCCTTTTTTAAAGATGGGGGTTGTGTTCGCCCTTTTCCAATCTGTAGAAACCTCACCAGACTGCCAGGACCTCTCAAATATGATGGCTAGTGGCCTAGCAACTTCAGCCGCCAGTTCCTTCAGGACCCGTGGACGTATCTCATCAGGTCCCATGGACTTGCGCACCTTCAGGTTCTCTAGATGTTCTTGGACTTGATCTGCTCCTACCCTGGGTGGTTCTTCACTCCCCCAGACACAGCCAGTATCCTCTGTGATTTGGGTGGTGTGGTTCGAGTGGTTGCCAGTGAAGACTGAGGCAAAAAAGTTATTTCAAAAAAATATTTCAACATTCTCCATGTCCTCAGTAACCAGGTCACCCGTGTCTTTCCGGAGAGGCCCCACATTCTCTCTCGTTTTCCTTTTTTCTCAAGAGGACAAACAACCAAACATTTTGGAAGTGGTTTCATATTTTCCTTTAGGAAGTGAAAGAGGAGTTTTTAGGAGTTTGATGCTTTTTGGTTTTTTGGCTGCAAATTGATGATATGCTGAAGTATTTACATTAACATAATGTGTGAGATACGTTAATTTAAAGCCTTTCCGTTAGAACAGTAAGTGCGTGAGGGATATGTTTATTTAGGAACTATACAGCATTTTAGGTATAATTTCCTAAAATTTCCACAGGTTGTATGGTCATTTATTTTTTTCCTAGAGTGGGAATGGGGAAGAGAAATAGGACATTTTTAAGAAAATCACTATCCTGGCATTATTTGCTGCATTTATGTATGTGTTTAAATATATTTATAGTGATGCTGTGAAATGACTGTATCCTTCTGTTGCCACAAGAGGGCCGTATTCTCCTAGCATTAGATTTTTTTTAAAAAAAACAAATTCTAACACTGATTTTTTTTCCTTTAAATCACTCACTTACTGGAGTATTAAAATGGCGACGAATACAGAGTGACTGGTAGGATATGTAGCATTCGAGGAGATACCGATAAGCTGATAGCTGTAAGTAGAGCAGAATGGATTATTTCCCAACAGACAGGGTCATGAACCTTTCTTTGGGCTATGCCTGTGGGCTGTGTTAGTTAGGCACGTGCAAAATTAGCATGATGTTACATCCTGGAAGTTCAGGTGCAGTTTTTGTCGTGCTTTTCAAGGAGGACCTGATCCCAGATGTGGAAAATAAGCCACTTGTACAGTATTCTGAGTGTCCACTTTCCTATAGCCCTTTTCAGCTCTTGGATCTTGTTTCTCAAGGATCACATTGCAGGTCATGGAGCACCTCAGCATGTACAGTACTTTAAAAAGCATTGTGTGTTAGTGTGCTGGAACAGCAGAAATAAACACTGGCTTTTATAGAAAAAAACCTCCTTTTTTACCTTTAGTAAGAGAAAACATTTTGAAACTTTTGGACTTTAATGAGCCATTCGTAATAACATGTTTGGTTAGTTCTTTCTTATTTTTTGCATATTCTGTATGCAACCTGTTATTTTCTGTGTAGAATAACCTGAATTGATTGCTACTGAGATGAGTTAAAGGGTTTCAGTATAAAACCAGTAACACTGGTGTGCCTATTTGGTGCCAGCCTTTGCTATTAATTATCATCTTGTGTTTTCACAGGTGGTGTCTTTTGTTGAGCTTTGATAGTAGTAACTACATTAAAAAGAAATACATATTTCAAGGAGAAAAATAGATATTTCCTGGTTTCAAGATATTTTCTATTATAAAATGTAATACAACATCTTTTTATTTATTTTTTTTTCTAATTAGAATACACATAATTTTATTTTAGTATCTCTTTTTCCGTAGCACAGATTTTGTGACTCAGTATAGTCTGAAATCTTTCCTCTATTGAAACGTTGTGATGAAAACCCCAGTGGCTTTAAAAGGTTTTCTTCCACGTTGTTTTTTTAAAAAAGTAAAACTAGTACTTAGGGGAAAAAATCTATGATTGCTGATTTTTGGTTTGGCAGAGGTAAAATGCCCTTTGTCAAGGATCATGTTTTCTCTTCAACCATTTGGTGTGATGTTCTTACCAGATATTTGTTAAGTATACTAAGACCCTAGGAGGACAGGAAGAGACAATGCGGTATATGTTTTGAAGCTCAAGCTGAGGTTTTTAAAGGTTCAGGCTCTTAAGATTGTATGCTATATAAAGTCTGCATGGAAAGAATTAGTACTGATATATTGAATATTTAGGAATTTAATTTCATGTCGAGATAAGTACGTATTGTTCTTTGTTAGTACTTTTGTCTGTAATTCCAAATACAGCAAAGATGAAGAGTAAAATGGGCTGTTGCTTGTTGTTTCCAAACAAGGCATCGATCAGTGAGGTATGGATGAAGCTCAGGTAGCAGTCCTTTTTGCTTGAAATAAGGATCTTGCAGTTTCTGCATATCTTAAGCTAAAAAAAAAAAAAAAAAAAGCATTTAGATTTACTAGAATTAAGTAATGGGTTTTATACCATCTTTCCAAATACTTTAGCTATTTTATCTGGAAGCATGACCTTGCAACGTGCTAAGCAGCTGTTGTAGGTGTTGATTCCTTCATCTCCCACTGGTCTGAGCACCTCTGTGAGTTGTTTGGTGCACTAAAAAAGGGCCTTTCGTGCATGCTGTTAGAAGGAAATAATGCAGCTACAAGAAGTGTTCCATTTGTGCTAGATGTTATGCTGTCTCCAGGCTGTTTTTCTTTTCTGCTGGTGAAAGTAGAGCGTATTGAATGCCTTGCCTGCTGTGAAGTACATGACACTAATACTCGTGTATGTGTTGGAAAGGAGCTCCTTGACTGAGTTATCAAAATACAATTTTATTATGTTTGTAAGAGTTTGGATAGTGCCTGACAAATACAGCGCTCATGCTGCAGCTATCTAAAACTCAAACTGGTGTAGGGCGTGTTTGTATTATTTTGTGGTCTTGTTTTTTGAAAACGATTTGCCAAAATTAACTATTCCAGTCCCTGATCAGAGATTTGGATGGACAGTGAGGAAACCTGTCATAGCTGCTAGTGTTGCACAGCACAAATTTTTATTCTTTCTTTTGCTTTGAAGGTTTTTCCCTCCCTGATTTTTTGTATGCATTTTCTTTATTATTACTGTGTTTTTTTATTTTTACTTTTCTAGGTCTGGGTGGGTTCAGTCACAGAAATAACTATTGATGACCTCTATGCAGAAGACAAGGACTCCTTACCATCAGAACTGATATATTCCATTACTCCACCTAGCAATGGATTCTTGGCGCTGAAATCTTCTCCAAACAAGAGCATCCTTAGTTTTACCCAGGCTCATATAATTGAAGGGCAGCTCGTATTTGTACACAATGGTATGTGGTTCCAAAAATACCACCTCTGTTACCAAAATACTGCTGATATTCAGTATATTTGCGTTTGTAATCCTTTGAAGATCTTGTAATGTCACAGAAATCTCTGAGCACTGATTATGTGATAGATATCTCACAAACTAAACAGGAAAGGGTCTGATGACTACTTAAATGTGTGCTCACCAAGAAACCTTAGTGTATTAGTGGTTCAGTTGGTAGCAGCCTTCTTTCTGAATGCAGGTTTGCAGTAGAGGAACGTTGCCTTGCACCTTTCAGAGCTAAGAAATCCTTTTTTTTTGACCATTGTGATTGAGAGTCTCCTGAAGCCTTTCTGTCTTGCTACAGTGCGGAGCTATTCATGGACCAGCAGTCTCTTAGATATCTGCCACAGTGTAGTTGTGTTCCTGAGCAGCTCTAGGCAATGAAGTTATGGGTCATCTGGGTGATGTCAACCTCTCTTTCAGGCTGTGAAGGAATTTAGCTTTAACCATTGACTCTTTTCTGCTAGTGGCCAGAGCTAGTGATTGGGTTATTTGTGCTGCTGCTACTGAGAGAATGTGTGGGCAATGACAAAAGAAGTCAGAGCAGCTTCATTCATTCTTGAGTGGCAGTGCTGGCAAGACGCAGGAATGGAGATTCCAGCTGGGTTCCAGCCAGCAGAAGAGTTGGGACTTTTACAGGGTGATAGCTGCTTTTCTCCTGCTCCAGCACTATTATCATGTTACCTCAGCTGAAAGAAGAAAGGAGGTGCTGAAGAAGGAATAAACCAGTTTTGGGGAAGGACACGGAAGAGGCGCACTACTCTCTTGCCAGCCCTGAGGCAGACTGGAATTATTTCCAGTGCACCCTTGGGTGCAGCAGTCACTCCAGATCTGTGCTGTGTCTTCATGAGGCTTGGTGCAGGTTAAAGTCCTCTGACTTCCAGTGCGCTGTCTTGCAGAGTGCATGTGTGTTGCTGAAATTGCTTTACAAGCAGCTGCTGGTGAGCTGTAAGTATCCTGCTCAAATAATTTGGTCAGGAAATGAAAGGTCAAGAGCATGGCAAAAGTAAGCCAAGCTGTTTAAACTGTTCTAATGGAGACTTTGACTTGTAGAAACCCCCATGGTGGTGGGACGGTGGTAGTCTCAGTGTGAGGGAGGAACTCTGTGTTCCAGAAACAGCAAATGCACATCTGTAGCCTTAGGAAGTGAATTTTGATTAATAAAAGTAAAAAGAACAGCAAATTTAATTTTCCAGCAAGTGGGAGTGTAGGTGGTACAGTAAATTTGAAATGTAAAATTGCCCAGGTCATATGTCAGCTCTTGCAGCTGCTCTGGCTCTGCCATCTGCTCAGCCTCCTGGCCTCCACTGTTTCAGAAAGTGCTTTGAACGTTTTGCTTCTTTTCATTTCTCAGTCTGTGATTTTCTTTCCTCTGTCATCTTGGACTGTTGCTAGAAGTGTACTCAGTACTCTCATCTTCTCACTCCCAGCCTCGTCCTGGAATCTTTCCTTAGCTGATTGCTGTCATTTGGCTTTTTCCCCCTTTTCTCTTCAGCTGCTTTGTCCCTCGTCTTCAGTCTTCTAGGGTTTGCCTACCTTCTTTGGCTCCTCCTGGGAAGTACCCTCACTCTATGTTCTCCACAGCCTAGCGTCTACCTTCATAATCATTCAGCCCTTTCCAAGGGGAAGCGCAGCATCTTTTTGGCAGAGGAAACTCTTCCATTCCCTGGCTGCTCTTTTACGTCTTTTAGATCTTTTACATTTATGTATGGCAGTGACTCTCCATCCTCAGGGACTTTTGTACTACTGTACTTTGCTTTTATGCCTCTAACATTAGACTTCATAAAATTTTCCCTTCATCTTTGCAGTCTTGCGAGTTACATTATGCTGCTTGTTCTGTGTTGTGAGTTGCAAATCTCCTCTTTGTTCTTGTTTTCCCCTTAAATTTTGTGTTTGTTTCCTCTGTAATCCTGAATTGTTCTGTCACCAGTGTAAACACAGAACCAGAACATACTTTTCCATTTCTGTACTTCCCTTTCAGTATGAGAATTCCTTCCCTTTACCATCCTCACTTCTCTCCAGGGTGCTCCTATCCCGCTTTCGCAGTATGGGGTCTGTCCTTAAACCCTGCCAGTGTTTCCTTAGGGCAGTACTGAATTGAACTCTTATTGGTTCTGAAACTTCTGTGTCTTTTCAATGCAGGTTTTACAATCCTCTTTCTGGTGTTCTTTTTATCACCTCTGGTCAGATACGCCTTTAAAAACTAATTGTGGTAAAGTAATACATACTCCACACAAGCAGCCCTTCAGGCTTTAGTTCTGTTCCTGACTCTGCCAATGTCAAGATGTCTGTGCCCATCAGGCAGTTGACCTGCATTAGCCAAAAAAACAAGTGGGGTTAAGGAAGCCTTTTTTTCTCAACCTGAGGTAGACTTCTCAGTGCCTTTATAAAATGTGCAACTACTTGTGCATTTTTATCAAGAGGAAACATCAGAGAGTAAAAGCTTTTAAAATAAAAACAGTATGATCTATCTTCCAGAGCTGCTTCAGTGCTGGCTGGATATAAGAGCATTGCCTAGGGTAGTTGTTAACTGTAATCTCAGAACCCACACATGATTCTTCTGATATGTTAATTTATAGTTAGGCAAGGAGTGCTGATCTTGAAGTGAAAGTACATGGCAGCCTTTCACTTTCAGGTTATATATTCATGTAGCAAGATCTCAGCGCTAAATTGGGCAAAGTAAGTAGAAGAGCAACAGTTTGCAACGGTTAGTGTTTCAATTTTTCATTCTGTCTTTCTACCTAATTAAACAACTCGTGGAGCCCCTACTTAAAGCAAGATTTTGGAAGCTCAATACACCTCAGTGAGTCAGTTCTGAGAGATGCATTTTTACAAGAATCCACTCAGACTCCTGGAGGTATTTTGCTATCACTTGTGCCAAAGTACATACAGGTCCTAAGATTAAAGAAAAAAATGTGCTTTTATTATGAGTACACATAACCTCTGAAATAGTTTAAGCCGTGACAACATATGATCTTCAGCAAAGCTGAAGCAGAGCAAAAAGACAAAGGTAACGACCTGAGAGTTGATTCAGTCCTTTACATGTAAATAAATCAAAGAACATTCTAGTTGTTTTTCTCCTCAAATGCTTTCTTTGCCAAAATGTGACTGCTTAAGTGCTGTAGTCCCTCCTAAGATATAAAAGGAGTAGGAAATCTGGGAGTCATTGTCCCTCCAAGTTTAACTTGGTTTCAGCTCCATTAGGGTCAATGAAGAAAGAAAGGAAGGGGCACTGCTAATTTACATCTAAAGGATATCTGGCCTTCAGTGTAAGCAACAGCCAGTAATTCTTCGTTGGGAAGGTGTTCTCTGCATTTTTAATTTATTTAATTCTAATTAAGATACAAAGATCCAAAATTGCTTCAGAATGGCTTTGGGTATATTTCACTGGAGCCAAGTGCAAAAGGCGTCCAGTGTATGTTTGTATGTCTTGGATGACAAATAGCATAATATAAGAATAAATTTATATTTTTGTTTTCTACAGGAGCAATGTCTGGAGGCTTCAACTTTCAGGTAACAGATGGTTTGAACTTTGCACCTCGACAGATTTTTAGCATCACAGCTCGGACACTAGTCGTTAGCCTTGAAGTGAACAAAGGTCTCGGAGTCTTTCCAGGTCTGCTTTTAAAGATTATAATGATTTCATCTACTTGAAAAAATTTCATAATATATGGTTGTTTGTCAGATAGCTAGCTGGCTAAACTATAGGAAACTGTATCTGGGAATATGTATCTGTCTGACTTTTAAAAGAATGGTTATGTTTTCTCAAACAACATATGGCTTTATTGTTTTATAGTCTTTAAAAAATTTTAGATATGTGCATGTGCCTGAAGTCACAGAAACTGGTAGTGAAATATATAAGCACAGCGTAACAATTAATACTGCTTACCTAAACTCTGAACATTCTCCATTTAGATTTGCTTAAAAGCTCTATGTTACGTTCATATACTCAGAGGTGTCTTAGCTGGTTGCGAATTTGCATGGTAAAAGTGGAGTGAAGCTTGTGTCTGTTGGATTCTGAATAGCACATGTATGCTCACCAGATTGCTAGCTTGCTTTCTTATTGTTTGAGATGAGTTATGGAGAGCAGCACAGACTCACTAATGAATCAGGGACTAAACACTTTGATTCGTGTTTGTGCATTTGGAGCTAGTTGGATCGGCAGCTAAGTATTTTTCAAATGAAATCCTACTCCTGCAGGAGCTGATGTGTTAAGAGAGTCTCACCAGAGACATTTACTGCTTTGCATTGGTGAGAGTAATCCCTCATTGAGTTAGTAATCTAACATTAATTTCAGGACTAAAGGAGAAATTAAGTCTTCTCTCAGCAATGTCTTGCATCACACTTCTGTATGTGCAACTTTCTTTTTGCTCTGAACATGCTCTGTACAGCCAGAGAGAGACTGAGTATTGGTAGAGGTCTGTAGGTATTAAGCTGTGTTGCTCACCAGCCCAGGCTGCGGCTCCAAGGATGTCATTGCATCTTCCACAGCCAGGAGGAAATGGCCCACCTTTTGTAGGCAGGGCCTAAACCTTAATTAGATAATTACAAGCCAGCTGGGTGATAGCCATAATTCCCCCTTTTTGTTTTACAGGGTTTTTTTGTTTGTTTTCAGGAAGGCTTTACGGTAAGCAGAGACCCAATTCATTCATTCCAACTCCAGCTCACTTCCCTCTTTTGGGATAGCGGCTTTACCTTCTTTATCAAAGGACTTCTCGCTCCGGCTCTTGGCTCGGGCTCCGGCAAGGGAGTCAGGGTCATGGTCTTCAGGGTCTCTCATGAGGGTATCACATCAGGGCCACCAGATATTGCTCACCAGCCTAGGCTGCAACTCCAAGGATATCATTGCATCTTCCACAGCCAGGAGAAAATGGCCCACCTTTTGTAGGCAGGGCCTAAACCTTAATTAGATAATTACAAGCCAGCTGGGTGATAGCCATAAAGCTGTACCTTGTTTTGTTAATTTGATGCAGAAGAGGAACACTTTAGTTTCTTAAACTTCCTGAATATAAGCTGTATAAACAAAGGCTTGCAACAAAAGCCACTTAGGCAACAAAAAATGAGATTGTAGCAGCATGATCTTCTAATTCAGTCAATATAAATGGGATTCACATAAATCCACTTAGAAAGCTTATTAATCTGTGTTTTGGTGTGTAAGGTTGCCTCAGGCACCGGGATTTACAGGAATTCTATCTTAAGCCAAAGATAACGGTAAGAAAATTGTGCTTGATACTTCCATAGAAGGCAAAGCCTCTAGACTGTCTATCGGTTCTCCAGTTTGCAAAATACAGTATTTCTTTCAGCACTACAAAGCTGTATTCATCTACGCCTATAGATCGCTTAGTGTGAGTTAGAAAATTTCCTTTTTGGTGTTTAAAAATGCTACAGCTTTTTCACCTGTTCTCTTTATGATGCTTTTAAAAGATGTTCTGGAGCTGTATGGGTTTCAGCTGTACTTATGTCGTGGTTTAAGCCAAAACCAGGCAGCTCATTGTGAAGTGACTATTACAACAATGATGGTGTTAATACACATAAAAGCAATAGCCAATGTCCTGTTATATTTTATAGCACTGCAGGAAAAGTTAATTTAGAGACAGCTTGAAGGATCTTCTCTCTAGGGAAGTAAGAATTGAATATATCATGAAGAATTTGCTGTGTCTTCGTGACTGGGTATAAACTATTCTCTCAAGCATATTGTTCTGCAGTTTTATAAGAGCATGTACTGCTGTCTTCTTTTGTATTGGATATACGATTTGTTTATACAATTTATGGATTTTTTTCCGTTCAACAGAAATTTATTTTATTCAGTATGCTCAGTAAATTGACTGCTAGATATGAGTTTTTTCTTGCATATGCTAGATATCTACAATGTGAGGATTTGCTCTCATCAGGGAAGCAATTGCTCAAAGGAGGAATAAGCTGAGTTGCTCTTTCAGAAGGAAAGGCATCCTGACTTGTAGGTATCCAGAAGCAGAGCTGTCTGTATCCAGAAGCAGAGCTGTCTAAGCAGTCAGTAGATGAGATGATTCATAACTGTTCAGCAGTGATAGGCAGCATGCTCCTGCCAAAGCATTTTCCAAATCTTAAATGTAGGTGGTAAAAATGGATACCAAAATTATTAGGTACCAATAATGGCCTTGTGCTACTGCATTCTACTTGTATGGATTAGCTTGGCCCTACTCTGCATCACCCATCCTTGTGTGTCCTTCTCTCCTATCTGTTCCTTTCCCCTGTGCTTGGGTGGGGTGGTTTTGTAATCTCTCTGCTTCCATGTTTGGGAACAGTGTTCTCGCTTCTCTTTCCTTCACCTGATCTGTTGACCTTCCTTTCCCTGTTGAGGTATCAGACCAGAGCAGAGCTAAGGTTCTCAAGTTTCAGGACATAAGTGGGTGAAGGAGAAGGTTATGTTTGGGGGAGGATCTCATTTTACAGGAAAGTGTGAGAGACTTAATATTGACTGTGGCTCTAGGCTGTGTTTCAGCCTCTGCTGTGCAGTGAGTGAGATCAGGCCTGTTAGGAACGAACGAGGGCTTTGTGGCATGCATCCTCTATCCCCCTATTCCTGCACTGTGGTGGTGGTGGTGGGATAACCTGGTATGGTTATGAAAAACTGGAGTGATAACTTCCATCACTACAGTGTGACCATGTTTGAGAGTTACTCTGTCTTACTCTGTTAAGGCAATGAGGCCTGATGTATGTAAGTAGGAGGAGAAACAACTGTGTTTGCAGATACGTGTGGTAGATTAGATTAACTGTTGCTCTTAATTATGCATTCCTGACCACATCTGCTGTATGCGCAACACAAGGTTGTGCTTCCCTCTGCCTGTCACGTGAAAAAGGGAAAAGAAGAGAGAGGAAGAGGACAGAGACTTCTTGCATTAGATATAGTATGGGAGAATTTTTCTAGACCTGAGGGGCTACTTGGCTTTTCAAGGCAGTATGGAGATAGAGAGCCATGGGAAGGTAAAAAGGCTAAAACAGTATGTAGGCAGAGGTCTCATTTCATTGTAACAACTCTTGTTCAAAGTAGATGTGGTTTGAACTAGGGTACAACAACATATAAACAGGCAGAATCCTGATGTTACTAATAGCTTGCAAAATATTCCCATTCTTCAGTTTTCTTACCATATTTTTCATCTGAATATTATAGCAGGAACATGTTATTTTTGTGTTATTCCTGTACAAATGTTATCCTTTATTGAAGATGGATTGATAGTTCAGATTTCAAGCATATATACTGCTAGTATCTGAAATTATGTATTGCTACCTATAAAAGCTTGTTGCTCAAGAAAAAAAGCACATGTAACAATGGAGACAGAAGTGAGGACAGGAGGAATAGGATTATGGAAATCTAAATGATAGATTCCCCCATGATACTCTAAAAGTATCATTAAGCATGAAATTTAGTTTGCTGAGTGTATACCATGAAACCATGCATGAAAAAGACGACAAATAAAACTTCTTTTTTCTTTTAGGAAATTACTAGGTTTGGTTTTGTCACAGCTATGTCAAAATTATCTTGGTTTGACTAAATGCCAGAAAGCTCTTTATAATCTTTATAATATTTAAGCCAGAAGGTACTGCTTAGTGCGGTGCTATGTATCAAAAGGATTTTCTTACCCTTCAGTCTCTGTCCATCTTAATAATACGTTATTTCAGTTCAGGCCATTGTTTCTGTTGTGTAATGTTCTTCCTAATTTGTTTAATTCAGTGTTTATTTTTTAATTTAATTTAATGAAAATCATTTTTTTATATCGATAAAGTGTTGTTTGAGCTTCTGTTAATAATTGATTTTAGTTTGTGTGTTCACTAGAAAATTTGCTGTGTTAAGATTTCTCCCTGCCAAATCACCCTGCCTTCTGTGGGCAGCTGGGATTACCAAAAACATTAACAATTGTGACTTCAGCTGGAGTTTGAATTCAGTTCTAGACATGTTATATAGAAACAGGGCTTCATATACATGCACTACTCCTTACTTTGGATTGTTTTAGCGGAAGCTAGTATTTAGCAATTACATGTGCTGAAGAGAACTGCACTTTTTTAATTTCTGTAAAACACAGGTAAATCCCACTGATGGGCTTTTTGATTGAAAAAGCTGTTGAAGAGCTGTAACTAGAAGGTAACTAGAAAAAATGTAAACCTGCCCATCTTATAAAAGGTTATTAAAATGTCAAGTAGAACACCTAGGTGAGAGGGTCAGTTGTGCATACAAAACTTACCCTTTGGGAAATACTGCTATTGAAAATCTGTATTACTTATAATTGACGTTTTTTTAGGTTCCAGGAAACCTATTTCACGATGTGATCTGAAAGCAGTGACCAATGATGTGACCAACGCGGGAAACAGAACTATAACTTTTATGATTGTAACTTCCCCAAAACTTGGAAGGCTGATAAGAGTAAACTCTGGTAATACCACTCAGGAAGTCCTCAGTTTTACGCAGTCTATGGTAAGGATTTACTTTATAATAGCTGTTCAGGGGTAGGTTGTTACTTCAAAGAGCATCTCAGTTGCTTGTTCTTTGTCTGATCCTTTTATATCTGTTAAGTAACCAGGCATATGTGTCCTGTCAGTGCAATCACCCAGATTTGCTGTGTCATTAGATATCTGGCATCTAGTAATGAACCCAAGGGGAGCCTTTGTTCCCCTCTGCTTGGATACTAGCAGAGTCTTGGCAATTTCCACTGTTTTGCTTGTAACAGTATTTGTCAAGAAGAACTGTTCTGATGCCATTAACCAGCAGTCCGAGGTTGGAAGTCTTTAGTTTTGGCAGAAGTAATAGCCTTTTGCTCTATGAAAAGTCCAAGTATGAAATTTGTTTCAGCTGTACACAGTCCTCATGAGTATCCCCAAGAGGACATTTATTGACTTGATTGGCTGCGATATTAAGTGTTTAAAGAATCTTAACTGTGATGCAGGGTCTCATACTTGAATGACTAAAATGTGGCAGCTCATGTAACTTGATCGAAAACATTCTTTTGCAAATGAAAAGAGATGACTTATGTCTGTGTGCAGATTCTGAATATAACTATGTGCTCTGTGTGCAATAAGCTATTCTCGGAAAATGTAAGTGGGAGACATAAAAAGAGCTCAATCTCCTGACTTTGCTGGAGGAAAAATTAAGAGATTTGGTCTTAATCTACATTTACAGATTTTAGAATTGACTCTTTGATTTCGTGTAGGAAGGAATGAGAAATTCTATTGGCCAGAAATGGAAACTTGACCAATAAAACCTGGGAAAAAGGTCGACAGTTTTATTAGTTATCATCAAATTTCCAAACAACCTGACCAAGGATTGTGGTGGAATGAATCTCCACTTGACCTTTATAAATCAAGATGAACACAGAATGTTTCTCTTGAAACTGTGTTCTAATCCCGTTATGTTATCGGTCTTGTTGCAATATTTGCTGAGTTTTGTCTTACATTATGAGGGAGATGAACTGTATAATGACACTGTTCCCTTCTGTTCCTAAAATTTGTGATTTTTATAAGCATTGCATGAAGCAGTTTAAGCATGTTTATATAAGAATGTCAGACAGAAAATCTTTCAGCTACAGTTTTGAAGTTTTATTCATTTTGCCTATGGATATGATCTTCACATATATTTATCAGACAGTGCCATGTGAGAACATGCCGCTTATTCTCTATAGCTTTAGTTCTTAGTAATGCGTGGCTAACTTTCCTTTGAACTTTGTATATTGTGCAAGGATTTGAGCTCCAGTAACATGTATTCTTTTCCTCTCTGTCAGAGGTGTTTGTATTGGCCATTTTCACTTCAAACAAGTAGAGCCAAGTGACTTATTGCAGATAGAATTGAAGTATGCTAATCAGCTTGCTGCATATTCTGGTAGAGAATGAGGTGTAAGGGAGAGAAAAGGGATCCTAAATGAACTTTCACTGTCTAGCATGTTGCAGCCACATGAAGTTCAATATCAGTGAGAAAATGACATTGGTATTACATTACAAACATATTTGTAATGTAATATTGTATAAAAAAATATTGTATATTCTCCATATAATGGAGAATACAACATTCAATTTGTTTGGTCGTAAGAGGCTTGTAAATCTGATTTGAATTGAAAATATTTTGCATTAATTTAGTTCTTTGGGTTTCATTGACTTACTCTGTGTTGTGGAACTTGAAATTTCCACTTCTGGAAAGTACTATGCAGCTAGCTTATGAAAGTAGTTAGCACTTTCGCTATGTCACTGAAATCTTCCTTATGCCCTGTGGTTTATTGCTTTGTTGCCAAAGAAAAAAAAAAATGAAATTACTGTTGCATTCCAAGAAATTTTTTCACGGACAGTTGTTGTTCAGCTAATATAAGAAAATTATGTGCACGTTAAGCACACTTGAATAATGCAGTAGTTTTCAACATGATGTTTGAATTTTTTTCTCTGCCAGTACTTTCTGTGGTATCTTAGAAGTTTTTTCATCTTGCAGCAAGCCACAATGTCTTCATTTTATTTATAGTCATTACAGAGGTCAACATAGAAATCCTCACCATTTCCATTCTCTTCTCAGCCCAGATATTAGCATGGGCGTGCAATTAAAAAAAAGACAACCTACTAAGATTGATACTAAACACCAGTGAATTTAATGGATGCGTATTGTGCCTGTTCTTGTTAAAAAAAATTGTTTTCTCCAACTTAAAGTCCTAGAGGCATTCTTTGGCAAGTTATCCTGAACCAACACATCCTTTTATTACCAATTTTGTCCGTTTTGTCCTATAATAGCCGTTAAGAATTAGATCAGTATAGGGAAAGCATAAACCTGGAGATGTTCATATAGGATCAGAATCCTGTCTGTGTTCAGACACATCAGTCTGAACTTTTTTAGACGATAAGATGGGATGGTTTTGAGGCTGCTGAGAAAACCAACCCTGAAAGCACTGTTTCCCTAATGACCGCAGTCGGGGCTGTTGCAATAGTTTCAGGATTAGCATGCTGTGTAGTCACAGCTCAGACCCTGTACTGCTAAAGTGCTTCATCCATGATAGCAGCAGGGGATTTTTATTTTCTTTTTTCACACCTTTCAAGCATATGTGGTGGGAATGTGTGCTAATGAGTTCCTTCAGAGTGTTTGCAAGCTGTGTAGAGTATGTCACAAATAGTAAACTTAGAACCGGCACCGTTTCAGACAGGGATCTCTTTGGTAATTGTAAACTAACACATGCAAGCCAGGTCAGTAGTTGCCTGGGAAGCTGCCAAGGATTTAGTAGGTATAGCTGTCTTCTCTCCAGGTCAGTCATGAATTATCAAGCAGACCAGATGCTGAATCTACGGGATGAGATTTATAAGTGTTCTATTCTTGTGGTTATTAGGTATCCTATTGTAGTTTCAATGTATTACGGTATTGATCTTAAAGTTTGACCATAGTTCCAACTGATAAGAATCCTAGTCTGAAAATACTGCCTTTTGCTTTGGGGCCTAAAGAGATAAGTGGTTGTATCTTGTATAAGTCTGTGTGTGTCTGAAGATTTACTGCAGTATTCTGCTTTGAAACTTGAATCCTCGTGGTGGGACTGACAGGATTCTCTTGAATATGATGATCTGCAACGTCAGTGAAAGCAGGTGTAGGACGAGCCAGGTTCTTTCCTGTCTTGTAGGAATCCCCTTCGTGCCATGTTGTAGAAATTTTCCACTAAGTAATCCCATCAGCTCTTCGGTTATAAATGAGAGTATATTTCAGTGGTCATTGTACCTCTGTCTGGTTTCCGTAGTCTCTTAGCAATTATCTTTTGCTATTCACCATGAAACACCTTACCAAAGTCCTTTTCAAGCCTCCAGTCTTTCGTATGCTTTTTCATGACAATGAGTCCAGCCATGCTGGTATCCTTATAAAGAAAAAACCCTAGACATAAGATACTCTGATTCACTAACGATACAGTCCAGCTGAGCTCCTGTGTGCCAGTACCATTGCTAGTATGAGGTAAGTTTCTCAATGTTTTGTTATCTCTGTTCCTTACCTAAGGCCTGTACTAAGCATTCATGCCCAGTAATGTTTCATCTGTCTTCAAGTATGCTTATCTGGCAACATAGAGTCCATCTTCAGAAAAAGAGAAATGTAAAGTAATCCCAATTTAGGTGACATATACACTGTGTATGGACTAAGGTGCAAAGGCTTTTCTTGAACAATGTTCTGAAGACTTTTTTGGTTTTGTCTCTTTACACTTTTGTGTTTAGAATTATTCTCCTCTTATACCTATGGCTTTTCTTTACCCTAAACAGGTGGATGAAGGCGTGATCATGTATGAGCACTTACATGCCGAGTCAGCTGGCTGGAGTACAGAAGATTCCTTTACGTTTACTGTCTTCTCTCCACCATCAGCTCTGGACCTCCAGGTGTTCCATATTGTCATTTCATATGAAATTACCAGGCATGACCGGAACAGTCATCTTCTGGCAAATACGGGTAAAGATGCTATACTGTTTGGGCTCTAAACTGATTTGGATCTGTCAGGGTTCCAATGAACAAATGTGGAAAAGAAAGGCTGCTTTCTCTTTGGTAACAGACGACCAGAATGCTTTTGTCACAGAGTGCAGTGTAGATAGTGTAGTGTAGATAGTAGCTTGAAAAATTGCATCATTGTGTCCTTAAAAATGATGTTTACTACCTATGTTTGATTCTACCTACTGCTGTAGTGGGTATTCTCCATTTCACTGTAACAGTATGTGAAAACACTGTGAGAAGCTTTAGCTATAGGTATTTCTTTAATCTTAAAGAATGCATCAATAGAAAATCATGTCTCTTATATGTGACTGTACTTCAAAAATAGTGTTAATATGTATTTTTAGCCATGACACATGGAAATCAAGGGTACCATGAGGGAGAAACTTTTCTGAGCATCATCAGTGTTTGATATCTAGTTTCTGAAAGGTTGCAACTATGAAATAGTTTCTAAGATTCTCTTTTACTTTCTGCTAGGTGTCATAGTCCAGGAAGGAGGAAGAGCATTAATCAACAAAACAAATTTAGATGCATCAAATCTGTTGATTAAGCTACCTGATGTACAGCGTTCCTTGTATGAAGTCTGGTATCAGGTTGTATCTTTACCCCAACATGGCATAATTGTTGTTGGAGAAAGAAACGTTACCAAAGAAAAACCTAACTTCTCCCAATACATACTGAACAAATTTGGAATTGTCTATGTACATGATAATTCTGAATCGCTTAATGACAATTTCACTTTTGCTGTTTGGTTAAACCTAAAGAGCAAGTCTGCAACAAAGCCCAATAGCGAAGTTTTAGAGGAGATGTTTAATATCACTGTTGTTCCAGTGAATGATCAAGCTCCAGAACTGAAAACTAAAAGGCTGCACTTGGAAGTCCTGCAGGGAGATATGTCAGTGCTGGGGTCAGAGAATCTGAAAGTTGAAGACCTAGATAACGCCCCAGCTGAGCTCAAATACACTGTTGTTAGTAACCCCAATAATGGTTATTTAGCAATGAAAAGCAATCTCAGTGTCTCTATAAAGGATTTCACACAAGCTGATGTCGACAGTCGTGAAGTTTGGTTTGTTCAGGATGGAAGTCCATCTTCTGGAGTGTTTTATTTCAGTGTGACTGATGGTAAACATCGCCCTTTATACAAACTATTCAGTCTTGAAGTCATACCAGTTGCTCTTGTCCTGGTCAACCTTACCAATGTTGCACTTCCACAGGGCCAGACATCTGTCACTATTACTAATGTGCAGCTTTCAGCTGTCACAAATGGAAAAAGCACTAACATAATGTATGAAATAACTCAGCCGCTCAAATACGGGCACCTGATGATGGGAAATGAGCAGGTTACTAAATTTGAGCAGGCAGATTTGTGTTCAGGAAGGCTGTCTTACCACCAGACAAATCTCACTGCGTCCAAAGAAGTACTGGAGTTCATGCTTTTCACTGCAGAAAGCAATCTAACAGGACAAGTGCTGAACATCACAGTGAAGCCTTTAGTACAAGTTGTACCTGACATGCAGATTTCAAATCAAGGAGCTTTTAAGTTCAGAAGTAGTGACCTGGATGCTTCTGAGCTAGCTAATTTGACAAATAGTAATCCTAGATTTGAAGTGATAGTGCCGCCGTCTCATGGAAGGATTGTAAAGAAAAGGTTCATGAATGATGCAGTGTTTGAAGATATTCAGACGTTCACCCAGGCTGACATTGATAGTGGTGTTGTGCTTCTAGACATAGATACAAATATGACGGGCATTGATCTCCTAAATGACTCGTTCACGTTTATACTCAGGGCAGATGCTGTGCAGCCTGCTGTCGGCTGTTTTCAGTATTCCATCGTGCCATATAGCCCTCTGCTTGCGCAGGGTTTTACAGCCAAAGTGCCTTTGATAACCAGCACTACCACTTCAAAGATTCACACTGCCTCAAAGCATGAGGCATCAGCATCCTCTCAGAATGAAGAGCCTACAGTAGCACCACAGAAGACTGGACCAACCATGTGGCCAGGGCAGAATCGCTGGGGAAATCTACATGAGGAAGGTCCATTGCTAAATCTGGCAGTGGGAACAAGTGGATCTTTGGGGACTAAGACCACAACTGAGGTTAATGCCAGGAGTCCCAGAGAGCAAGCAGGTGAAAGCAGCAACCCTTGGTACGTCATTATCCCCCTGGTCCTGGCATCTGTGCTGCTCATTGTTGCTGTTATTTCTGTGTGTGTTTTGCTGATGTGTCAGAAGAAAGAGAAGACAAAACCGCTCGTCAAAAGTCAAACAGATGCAGTCCTCAGTAGTCCAGATCGACCTCTGGAACGGAGCTTGACTGTACCCAGTGTTACAGTGACTCCTCTCCTGAAGGGGGTTGAGAGAAGTACAGCCTCAGCATTCATGGCAGTCAGACATGAACAGCTACTTCCTGCAGTGCTTTCTCCGACTGTAGAACGGTCTCTGCAAAACAGCTGGTTAAACCTTGATCCTGAAATGATCCAGTATTGTCGAAGAACAAACCCAACTTTGAAACGCAATCAATACTGGGTGTAGTTATGGCCAGTTTTGGTCATGCTAATTGATGTGGAATGGAAAAGAGTATGCATTGTGAACTTACAATTTGTTCTTTAATACACTAATTTATTATACATCAAACAATGCACTGCTTGTTAGATGAAACACAAATACCTGTGAAATAATAACAATAAAAATCTTACTGATTACAGTGGCCATAAAATGGGATTTCCGGTTGGTACTTCAGGAAAATTCCCACTTAATAAAGTGCAGAATTTGGCCTGGTAGTTTTTGAGTGCACCCTGTGTATGCAATATCTTTTAGTTTCCGTGACAGGAAAATTATTATTGATTATATTGATTATGTTTTTTTAATAACAATTACTTTTTTTTCAAGAACTAAGTTTGCTATAAAGGTCTTGCATTATTTTCTGAACCACTACTTCTATCTGAGGAACTTTCAACGGTTTCTTTAAGTAATTGCCAAGGTGCTAATCTCAACAATGTCATTTTGACCTGAAGACTGTTCAGAGGGCAGAACTAAAGAAACAAAGCTGTGATTATTTTGACAGGTGTTCATCTGGATCACTGAACTGTAAATCTAGAATTCAACTCAGCAACAATAAATACAGCAGTGACAGTATACAAGGATTCTGGTAAAATACTCTTACTGCGAGGTGTTGTTGTTCTTTAGTTTTTCTTTTTCCTCATTTGACACTGAACTCTAGCCTGTAGTGTCTGCAGACTGGTAAAATGCATCCATGACCTCTAATCCACCTAGCAAAAACTGTGTATCTGTCAGTCAGCCTGTCTGCTGAATTATCTTTAGGCTTAGGTTATGTCTGGAAGTGCATGTCAAAATTTCCTGCTCCTGACAAAGGGCTGAATTCTGCCTTCAGTGAAGCAAGCACAACTCCTTTTGGAGTCTGGGTGTTCGAGAAGATGACAAGACAATCAAATCCTCTGCTGCATACTACCGTGTATTGTGGAGCAACTGACAGAAACAATCCTGCGAGGAAGTACATAACCCCTTCTGAAGTCTCACGATTTATGCTTCCTCTGCCAGAACACTAATAGATGTGCCTTACACGCTGTGTAACAACTACCTACTCTAATTTTGCTCTGGTGGTAAAATGTGCAATAATTTCTCACTAAAGGGGATATTTTTTGAAATCCAGGCTCTATAGTGATGTTCAGTCTCCTGCTAATGTCCAGTCTTTCTTTCACTGACGACAGCAGCAAAATTCTTGTTGACTTCAGAGAATGAACTGTCTTCAAGGGAACGGTGCCATGATCATAACCAGTCTGTTACTAACCACTGAACTTGTTATCTATTTTTGTATTTTTGTACTGTTACAGCTTCTAGTTAGCTTCTCTGTACAAACAGACACTGTGCTTAGTGTCAGGATGCAGTCTCAACACTGCACTCAGTTAACACTAGAATAACATATTTGTTCGAGCCTAGGTACTGCAGTTTTCACTTTACAGAACGGGTGTATGGGCCTCAACATCCTTGGTGCTATTCTTTTCACACTACTTTGGTTTGGATTATTTTTGTTGTTGTTGTTGATTAGCTGTGTTTCTGTCATTTTTATATTTCAGTTATGGGAAGTTTTCACTCATGAGGAGAGCCTGTTGTGGAGCAGTGTTTAGATAAAAGTGTGATTTAACAGAATTTGATGGCAAGGTTCACTGCATTACTTAACACATGGAGGAAACACACAGAGGGAAAAGGGGTTAGAATCAATTTGGAATTATTTGCACAGGGACTGGAGATGCAGAAAGGTAAGGGAGACCATCCCATTGAGTCATGAGGTTCAGAAAGGACCCCCTTTGCTTTCTAAGCTCCTTCTCAGAGAGGAGTCTGGGTGTGACTGGATCCACTCCTAGTCCCGGACTTGGTCAGTGGTTTATGGCTGAGGGATTCTGTGTGTTTATAGCTAAAGGATTGCATGCACACCTGATTCCCTGTTCACTTATCTAGGGTTTCAGAGTTTCATCATGCATTATCCCAATTCACTTACCTTCCGTTTGGGCGTCCAGTGTTAGTTTGCTCCAAAGTTCGAACCCCAGGTCTCCCAAAGCAGACTCTCAGGCATCAGATTTTATAAAAATAGTTTAACAGAGTGGTTTAGCAGCAGGGTCAGCTCGAGCTAGCTGTCTCTGGAGAGGGGACCGACCCGAACAATCCCTGGGTTATTACACCCTTAGAGACTGTGCACCTACTCCTCATGCGACGGTTCAGTCTAGTATTTGGGCCTGGGGTGGTCTTGTTCCTCATCAGATTCCTTCTCTGTCTTCAGGCAGGTTGTTACCTTGTCTGATTGCAGCTGCTGTTGATGGTTGTAGCCTTGAAGCCTCTGTATCTTCTGATTTAGGCTGGGTCTGGAAGCCCTGTTTTGACTAAGCAGGACACGTTCAGTAAATCTGAGTGGAAATTTCAGCTCGTGCCCTACAGCTTCAGCAAATCTACCTGCTCGTGCTTGGGAAGTACAGCCGAGCAAACAGCACACTGAGTCGCACAGTGTTACAACTCTGAGTGATTTATTCTGTTTAAAACTTGCTTATTTAAGCTAAACAGCTAATACCTCTTAACCTGCTCAAGGGGAGATTTGCCGGGCGTGCAGCCCAGTTGCCGTCCAGGGAGGATTCACACTGGGTTCATCCAGCGACCTGTCACTGGTAAAAGACCTGGCTGGCTCAAGGAGCACCCCTGAGAGCATCCCTGCCTAAGGGGAGATCACTGCCATGGTCAGCCATGATTGTGGCGCATTTGGAGCAGTGCGTTTTTGAGAACCCGTTTCAAGGAGAGTACTACTTGTCAGTAGAAAGTAAGCAAGCCACTTCTTCAGCTGGTCAAGTTAGTGGAGCACTAGAGATATGAACCCTTTATATGCTCAACTAAAATGTGTTTGAACCCTGATGCACAGTTTTTATTTCTCTGTCATCACCGTTTTCCGCTGATGCCAGCATGAGCAGTTTTGAATCCAAGCAGTGCAGCCAGTGTAAAAGGCTGGGGTGTTCAGGCGTCCCAGGTGGACCGCTGCAGATCTGTGTTGTAGACCTTTGCTGCTTTTCTAAAGAAAATCTTTGGGACCGTTTTTAGAAACTCTCAGCCATCACAGCAACACCCCAGCATCCTTTGTGGAGTGCAGCTGTATGTCTCTTGCCGTTTCCCGAAACCTCTTTTGCTGACACCAAGCAGACAGCAGCTTCCTCCAGCGCCCAGCTGTTGGCAGAGCATTGCCGCAGCCTGCGTCTGATGCCTTCTAGCCAGCAGCAGGAACTTGATCCCTTTGCACCTCCTCCAAGGCCTTACTTCAAGGAGGAGTAAGGAGTTACAATCCAACACTTTCCTGACATTTAAAGAAGCTTGTCTAGCGTTTCCCTACCGCTGACATCTTCCTGTCAGCAGCAAAAGAGGTGTCGTACTCCATTGCCTATCAGGAGACCAAGTGAGACGTCTCCGATTCAGTACCAAAATGCTGCAATGCTGAAAGCTGTTGGTGTCTGGTGACAAAATCCGCATTATGGACTCGTGACAGGCTGAACAGAAATATGGAAGGGGAATGTGTGCTTAATGAGATTTTGCTAAATGTATTGTAGAGAGAGGTGCCCAAAGTTGTGATGCTTGCTGTGTACTCGAGATGGAAGATAGGGCTGCTGCAGTGCTGTTGATGGTAAAAGATGAGACTGTGACATCACAGCAACCGAGTCAGAAATACAGCAATGCAATTAGAACTCCACAATTGAATGTTCGTTCTTGAGTTTCAGCATTTGCATGCTCTGAGCAAGAGATCGTACATGAAAAATACAGAAAAGATGGAAGAACGTGTGCTGCCTTTTTTGGCTTCAGCATAACGGGCTGAACTCTTGTTCTCTGTTTCCAGAATCCTTTTGGCTGACAACAAATACTCATTTCAAGTAGATCAGACATTGTGGCATTGTATTTGTGCTCAATTTTTAAAGCATTGAGGGTTTTTTTGTTTGTTTGTTTGTTTGTTTTTTGTTTTAAATAAAAACTGCCTAAATGTCTAATTCATCAGTGAAGTGTGCTAGTGTTCCATTTTCGCGTTCTGTTGATGCTACTGTGAGACAACTGTGCCAAACTGCCTGCCATATTATGGCATGTTTTGTTGAGAACTTTACATGGATGTAAGTATATTGTACCAGTGATTACTGTGTTTCATATGAAATGCAGAGGTGATGTTGTAACTGATAATTACATATGGATTTTGCTTTAATATCCTACCCTAAATCCCCAGTAAAAAAAAAAAAACAAAACAAAAAACAAACTGAGTACATTAACGTAAGCTTTCCATGTGGACGATAGAGAATAGTTTCTGGCAGAGGTCAGTTCATCTTGTCCTGACATAAATACGTGATATAGGGGAGAGGAGTCAACTCTGGATGAGCTGAAGTCACTGGTTTATCTAGAAGTCCAGCTTTGAGATGGTAAAAACTTACTGGGGTTAATCTCATCCTTGGTTTCCTAAATAACACTCAGTCTAGAAAATCCCCAAGAAAAATGTTTTGTACTTATGGATTCTTTTTGTGATTCCAGGAACATACATAGTTTATGGTCAGGATCTGGTTTGAATTCTTTGGTTGTTTCACTTACCCTTGAAGTTATGTGTTTTGTTTAGTGAAGATGGGGTTTGTGAAGGATGCCCTTTCTTACCAAGTAGAGTTCTAAACTGCAGCATGAAAGTGCCTTGAAAACATATGTAAAATCAATAAACTGCCTTGTTTATAATCTACACATTTGCGTTTTTGTGCTTTCTTTAAAGACTTATAAAGTACTGTGCTCAGTGCAGAAACACAGCAGGATCCCAGTGCCAGTGACAGCGTTCTTCCACGTTTTCTGATGTTTATTTTTTAAATTGCACATGTGCTGAGATCACTGTTGTGCTGTGCCCAGCATTGTGCCTCTAACATAGTGTGTATGGCCAGAAAAGGAGAGATGTTTCGTCATGCATTTACCTGGCCGTGTTCAGCACTTGAATTAATGCCACATCAAAATAAATACATTGGTTTAAA